AGCCTGCATTGGCGGGTCTTGCTTTATGTGAACAACATATAAAACAAATCATTGTATATTTTGAGATGCAAAAAAATCAAACATAAGGGAAAAATAATATAAAGATCTAATAACAACAGTGAGTCTATAGTATGGGTTCCACCTCTAGTCCTGGCATGTGTTCATCACTGAGTGATCCTCACAGTCAGAACATGCTTAAGCATTGATGGATATAGTGGAGTGCAATGTCTGTGGAGAGAATAGAGCGCCCCAGGAATGGGTCCTAAAACTTGGATTTGAGTTAACATTTTTGCACTCCAGGTTCCCTTTTGTCTTAAAGTCAGTGGTTTTTTGGGGATGGGTGTTTGGTTACATGCCTGTGGTAACAAGCTTTTATGTTTTTTTCTACAACATAAAATACATCAGTAATTACCCCTCCCCTGAATTTAGAAGCTTTTATGTGTCTTTAAAAGGCGGTTGCTAACAAGTGACTACATGAAACTACAGAACGCCACCACCCCAAACACGGCTTGATAGCCATGGTGTGGGGGCGACATTAAACCATGCAACCGTGGTGTAGTTCGTTTATAGCCTAACGTTAGCTTTTTACTTCTGGGGATTTTGTTTAGGCTTCAAAAATCATAGAAGTGGTGTTAATTTTTAAAGATTATCTCCCCGAACTTATTGCACCTCATTGTCTTTTTGTGATCTGCATTTAAGCAACCGCAACCTGATCTCACAGAAATACGTGAAATGACCCTGACCTCTTAACACCGCATTCTGTGGTGGCAGCACGTAATGGGTTGAAACTACGTGCCGGTACCACGGAAACAATGCCAATGTAAAGTCAATTAGGATCCATTGTCGTGGTGTCCACACAAATTCCCTGATTCAACAACATCACGTCAACCTCATTTTCCTCAATGATATCTTTAACATTCCTGTATACACACAAAAACACGAAAGTGTCCTTGATAACTCAACAATATGACAGGTTAATGTCAGGGCCATAAAATAAAATAAATGTATTCTGCCAGCTTTTGATAGCGTAGGGCTTTAAGAGCATTGTGCTGTGGGCGGATGGGGCGCGTTCGACTACTGTTTTGTAGCTACTGCTTCATTCCATTTCAAATTGCCGTCCGTCTGCCGTAACCGAATCCAAACACCACTAATAAATAAATGAAGAAGAAGAAAAAAAGGATGACTCATTTTAGTAACTATCTACAGTAGAAAAGAAAAAACAAGCAAAGAAACAAACAAAAATCAATTTATACACTGGGCCTTCAATGTGCTCTCTGAAACTACACCTGGTGGCTTGTGTCCAAAAAATGAAAAAATTAATACTTTGTCGTAGAGCTAAACCAAATACATCATTGGAAATGTCTCAACCTGGAAAGTAACATATGTCAGTATGAAGATTCTGCATGGCTCCTGCTTTGAACCTTGACCTCAGTGCATGTTTGAAGGCTTATAACTCAGCAACAAAAGGGGGTACAGACATGGGACCAACTGTTATAGAGAGCTCTTGACCTCAACTATCAGGGGAGTGTAGTCACCAACTGGGGGTGCTGTCAGATATGGGTAAAATATGGATAAAATTAATTTTCACCCATTTTGAAATTAGATATTTAAAATCTGATTACACAAGTGTGTTTACCATCCCCTTAAAGTCCACAGTGTACTCTCAATTCAGTATTTACAACTTCCAAATCCAGGAAAAACACTTATATTTTTCAAAAACTACAATTCCCTAGGACCGCGCCATGCAGCTTGATACATATCAGCAACATACTTGTAGTTGTACTGATTTGCAAAGTAGGGTTTTAAATAGGGTTGTAGAAAGATATATCTACTGAATATATCTAATATCTAGTAAAGCCAAACCAGTAATACACTGCACCTAGATGAACTATGTTAAGAAAAAGTAAAGATGTCAGCTAATTTTCGATATTTTAGCTAATATGCTAGAAACAGCGTTTTTGGAACGGTAGGTTTTTGCGGCTTGTAAAATAGAGTTGTAAAATAGTGTCGTAAAAAGATAGCTCTACTGAATATATCTAATACCTAGTAAAGCCGAACTAGTAATGACACTGCACCTAGATAAACTATGTTAAGAAAAAGTAAGGATGTTGGCTAATTTCAGATATTTTAGATAGTACTCAAGAGACAGCGTTTTTGGGATGGTAGTTTTTTGCGGCTTGTAAAATAGAGTCGTAAAAAGATACATCTACTGAATATATCAAATGTCTAGTAAAGCTGAATTAGTATATGTTAAGAAAAAGTAAGGATGATGGTTAATTTCAGATATTTTAGCAAGTTCTCTAGAAACGGCAAGAGGGAGCAGCAACAGGCAGAGGAACATGTCTGAATCCAGCTAAAGGTAAACACAGACGTTCATTCCTCCTTTCCGTTATGTTGTCGGATAATTATACTAACAATCTGAGCCTATCTGTGTGAAAAAATGCACTTTTAGTGGATGTATTTTGACGTTGTCTGAGTACCCTATTATTTAATATAGCGCACGCTCACGGGCTGCAGGCAGGTCCGCCCTAGCTTCGTACTGGAGCAATGTCAAATATTGAACATCCTATCACTCATTAGACAAAAGTAGATTGGAAAATAGGGCCCAGATTGAAAAAAATATTTGTTCCCCTTTAAGTTACAATACATTACTAAATTACTAATACAACCAACAAAGGCAATGAGTACTAGCCAGTCACAGGGAGAGCAGAGCAAGGAATTCCTTCACCATCCTAGGAAACGGAAATTTCCAAACAGAACTCACAGACCAATGGGTGACATCATTGTAGCTATATCCATTATTTTTACAGTCTATGGTTACAATGTGATGTATGGCCTGTGCGTACCTATGAGACGTTGAGGGGTGTGATAATTTGACGGGATTTGACAACCTGGGATCAGGATGAGTTGATCCTGCTCCACATAAAATGATGCTTCGCAAGCTTTTATACCCTAACCAGCATACAGTCCTCTGAAAAGACAATGAATACTTATGGTGGTCACATTTAAAGATATTGAACATACAAAATACTGTCAATTAGCAGCTTCAGCACAAAAGAATCTGTATCAGACTTCTCAAAACAACATAAAGCAGTTTGTAAGGCAGGGGATAACTTAACCTGCTTCCCCAATAACTTCCTCTTTAGTTTGGTGTGGTGATGCCAGCATTATTGTCCCTAGTTATGGCAAACTTGATACTCTGCAGTTTGCCAGGCTGGCAGCGAAGTGGAGGATGCAAAATTCCTCATCCTTAAGAAGGCATAGAAGCACTTGGAGAACCCAATTTTCATGTGTGGCTTTTATTTGCTGATTTCTCTTCAGCCTTTAACAAAATGACATTTTAATTGATCGCCTGGCGTCCTGTTTTAACTTACCTGATCAGCTTTTATTGTTGCTTTTAAACTTCTTAACAGACAGAACCCAACAGGTTTTAGTCAACAGAGTTATGTCCATCACCCTGGCTTCTAACACAGGCTCACCCCAGGGTTGCGTTCTTTCCCCCTTGTTTTTATCTTTTACACGGATGGTTGTAGGCCTTCTAAAGAGGGTAGTTACCAGGTAAAGTTCTCGGACGATACTGCACTTTTGTCTCTTCTTCAGGGTTCAGAGTCAGACCATGGTTGTGCCCTACCTGCTTTTGTTAACTGGTGCGATGCTAACTTCTTTGACGTCAATGTGTCAAAAACGAAGGGACTTATTACTGATTTTAGGAAAAGAAATGATATATCCGAAGCTAGCGCTATACATGACAAGGAGGTTCAGGCAAGCCCATACATTCAGCGAATGTAGTTATGTAATGTGCATTGCACTAATTTATTTGTTGATGTATGTAAATTATTATTCTTTGCCTGGTCCTTGTGTGAGTCAGTATGCACGGGACCATACAATGTGCCAGTGTGCCTCATCTTTTGCCCATGTATTGATCTCTGACATATTACTCCCATCAGTTGCTGCTTGTTTCTGCCTGTGAATTTTTGTATTGTCCGGGTAGACTATAAAACTGAATTGCCCTTCTGGGATAAATAAATTTGTCTGAACTGAACATGTAAAGATAGTGACTGACTGAATTTGAAAAACTGAGAAATATCATTGAAATTGCCCTTTTTTCAAGACATCTACGACTGTTCATCATCTGTTTGTAAATGGATGAACCTTTTCAGAATATACTTATTTACACCATAATAAGGGGGGAAAAATGAGGTGTTGCTATTTATAGGTTATTTATAGGTTACACAGTGGTTTTACTGGTCTGGCCCACTGGAGATCTATTTGGGCTGTATGGCCCATTAACTACAATGAGTTTGACACCCCTGCTTCAGAGAAACTGATGATTATCTGTGACCCAGATAAATACTATTACATGAGAAGCACAACCTGGCTACTGAAATACATGCCCTGTCTCTAATCCTATATGTATGAAAGGGAGGTTACATGTGAGCTGCCTGTCCTCTATCTAAGACGTAAAAATCCTAATATTTCTACATTGCGTAGATGTCTTCCAGAAAACTAACAACACCTGAACGCAACATTTGTATGCATGCTCTGTATTAGCTTGTTAAAAGCCTCGCTAACACTGAATAATAAACGTTATCTGTCAGTATGTTAAAGTCAGGACCGCACCAGGGTACACACTGCACCTTTTAATCGTCCCAGAATATTCCCATAGCAGATCAGTGGGAAAGGAAATACATTCCATCAACCTTATCGAGCTGGGTGATGTTTCCTCTGTCACATTCTCTCTGTGATGTCAATGTAGGTTAAATCTGTGTCCTTCTAATATGCATTACAGTGTCACTGCTGAGTCTATTTTTCCCCGACAGCATCCGCCGCTGCGCAACCAAAACATCCAGCTGACCCGCTAGGTAACGCTCAAACCCTCTTTTCACCGGTAAACGAGGCTTTCAGAGCAGAGAATCGCAGGTACAGACAGATATCGGCGGCATGAACAAAATGTGAAGTTAGGAAAAGGACAAATACAGCGGTGGAGCCGGCGTACTTACGTTTCTGTAGAAAAGCCATAAAGATGACGGTGCTGATGGTGCTGAGGAGGGTCGACATGACTGGAGTCTGACATCAGCAGAGGATGTTGTGTGTGTGTGTGTGTGTGTGTGTGTGTGTGTGTGTGTGTGCGAGCGCGCGCCTCCTCCCTGCCCCATGTAGCTACAACGAGAAGGGGAGGGTGACAGAATAAATGAAGACTTTCAGATCAGAAAAAGCAGATCACATTTTTTTTATTTTCTATTACAGAACCTTATTCATAGAGGAATATTAGATATCTGGTACACATTATATTTGACACTGGAACACGTTGAGTGAAGTCAGGTAATCTTGGCACTTTATGGTAGATTACCAAGACAGCCACCTAAATGTCTGAATACTACTTTGCTTTACTTTACTTTACCACTTCTTATGGTTCTCTGCTGTATTTCTATAAAGAAAATAAATTCCTAAGTCAAACAATTTAGACCTTCAAACACATCAAGAACCCTTACCTCGCTCCAATGGCATGTTCAAGTAAACGAAGAAGACATACTCTATTTATCCCAGAGGGGAAATTACATTTTTTCCCTCTGTTGTGATATACACACAGGCCCAAAATACACACACATGCACTAACAGGACCTATACATGCAGCAAATGGAGAAATGTCAGAGCAAGAAGGCTGCCCATGGACAGGAGCCCAGAGCAGTTGAGGGTTCAGTGCCTTACTCAGGGGCACTTCCATAGTGCCCAGGAGGCGAACTAGCACCTCTATAGCCACCGGTCCACGCTCCATGCTTGGTCTGGATGGGGACTTGAGCCTGCGACCCTCTGGTTCCCAACCTAGACTCCTATTGACTGAGCTGCTGCTGCCCCAATGGGACAGATGTGTAAAGTGGGACAGTCATGTTTGTTTTTGTTTTGTTTTAATTGTTAAATCCATTTATAATTTCAGTCATTAATGCATTAACTCTTTAATGTAACCTAACTATTCATTAACAAAAGAAACAAATTGCCATACTTTCCCTGTTATTTTGCTGCCTGTTTTCTTGGTGCCATATTGTCTACAATGGACATGTGTAACAGTGATGGCTAATTCTGGACTATTGTGGCTGATACGGACTCATTGCATCACCTTTTTGGGGGCAGTAACTAAAAAAGTTACTTTTCTCAGTAACACAAAACTTTTTGGCTTAAGTAACTGAGTTACTTTTTAATGAAGTAATTAGTAACGGTAACTAGTTACTATTTTCAATCAATCAATCAATTTTATTTATAAAACCCAATATCACAAATCACAATTTGCCTCACAGGGCTTTACAGCATACGACATCCCTCTGTCCTTTGGACCCTCACAGCGGATAAGGAAAAACTCCCCCAAAAAAACCCTTTAACGGGGGAAAAAAAACAGTAGAAACACAGAGAAAGACAGACGAGCAATAGATGTCGTACAGAACAGATCAACATAATAAATTAACAGTAAACCGTATGACACAATGAGACAGGGAGAGATGCAAGACAGATGGTAATGACAGTAGCTTACAACAACATTAATGAAAGTAATAATATTATA